CTGCCCAAGACCCTGAGAGGGAAAGGGGCTGTGGTATGGCCATACTCCCTAGGGGTGTGATTTCTTACTTTCCTTCTCTTTCCTTCCATGTGTTCTATAGCAGACTTTAAAAAAATATAAAAGAAGAAAGAAATCTTAACAGAAAGATTAGTGAATTGTCAGAATTCTCATTTTCTCTCTGTCTTTTTGCTGCCTAAAGTAAATTAATTTATTTTTAGATTGATTTTAATTTTGTCATATGTAATGTATTAGATTTTATAAATAATTTTCTCACATTGTTTAACTTCTCTGTACTTTCAGGGATTGTGTGTATATCATCTTGTAAAAAAATTCTTAAGCTGGGCTCTTCAAAATCCTCCCACCTTGCCTTTTCCAAAGTGTGTGTGTGTGTGTGTGTGTGTGTGTGTGTGCGCGCGCGCGCGTGTGTTTATTGAAAAGATGTTTCTGCCCAAATTGGTTTCTTCACTATCCTCTAAAACTACTATATGCCTTTCACCTTCCATATCAGACTTCATGTCTTTCTATCTACTTGACCTGATTTCTTCCTTTCTTTTTTAAAAATCTAAACTGTATCATTTTTGTGTAATTTTTAAAATGTACATTTAGTCATCTTTATATTGTGCAAATGTGGTTTTTCCCAGCATGCATGCAGCGCATGTCAGTCAAATCAAAGATATTTGTACCTTTTCTGTAGGGTCAACTGCACCATGATCTCTGAAATCCTATAGTATGCACTAGTGAGTTATGCTTATTTGATACTCGAACTTTATGTTGTACTGTTTTGTCATTTTTATGTTCCTTGGGCCTTCCTAACTAGATTGTAAGCTCTTTAAGGGCAGGATACCACAGATATCAATGAGCTGTATTCTTAGTCTCTTCTAAATACAATAGTAGTTGCTGAATAAATGTTTCTTAAAGGTGATGAATGTGCATTTCTGGTTTTTGCCCCCTCCATAGTATAGTAGGAATAAGATGTTTCAGAGAAGAGAGGAAGGGCAACTGTAAACCACAAGAAAAGGGATTAAAGAATGGAGATTCATTGGAATCAGAAGGAAAGTTCTGTTCCTAGAAAGTGTGAATATTTGAGAACTTCCCATGACAATACCAGCAGAAAGGACTCTCTCAGGAATGCTGGCACTACTCCCGAGTGAGCTAGGGAGTTTGGTCAATTTCCTGGTTCCTAGTAGAATCTTAGTTTAAAAAACACCTACTCCTCTCCTTCCCTTCTTTTCCACCCTATTCCTCCCTCTTTCCAACCCTCTCTCCCCATCTCTCTTCATTTTAATCTTTTCTATCCTTTCTTTTTTCTTTGTGTGGTTTGAAATAATTGTTTATTTTTTAAACATTTGTGTTTAGAATAGATGACCCCCTGCTCACATAATTCATGTAATGGATCTTTCTGACACAGTACACAAAGTTCACCCTTTATAAGGAGTAGTTGGGGCCTGGGCTGAGGTGCAAGACAGTAGGTGCAGAGGTGATGAAGAGTAAACAGGCCAGGAGACCAGTCTGGGCCTAATGCCATGTCCAGGCTGCATCCTGGACTAGAGAAATTCAGAGTAAGAGGCTGAGCCTGGTACCCAGTGAACACAACTATTCCTTAAAACCACAACCCTTCTTCTCCCATACTTTTGCCCACCTGTGGCCCTTGCAGATAGAGCTCATCAGCCCAGAGAATCTTGACCCTCTACTTTCCCTTCCAGATCTCCTAGGGTATAGTGAAAATATAGTCCCTCTTTCCTGAGGGGACTAGGAAAGAAAGACAGTGGTGCTCTACATGATGTTAGAGAAAGCTGTGATACCACTCAGCAGGTTGGAACCAGTGCCCTCATAAAGACTGTTGCCTGCATCAGTCAGCCTTCCAAGTAGTTGGGGTTATAGGCACATGGCACTACACCAGACTTTTAGGTTGTACTAGGAATTAAACCTGGTCCTCATGTCCCAACCTGTGAAGCACAGCATCTTAGCAGCATGCCCTACTGTGGATGGGACCCCAGCCTGCTTTGTGATCTAGTCAAGACTTTGGAGTTTATGCCAGTTCTTTTATATGACTCTCATAAATTAGCAGTCCCTTTAAGAATATTATATATATTGGACCAGCAGATGGCATAATGGTTACGTTGCTGAACTCCCACGCAGTCGCCTACAGTTGAGTCCTGGACCCAGCAGCTTAAAACTCATGCCGGGTGCATGTGCGTGTGTGCCCAAAGTTGCAAGGAGAAAATGGAGGAGAAGGGGTTGCAGCATGGCCATTCCCCCTGGGGAGTGATTTTTTGTTTTCTATCCCCGTCTCTCACGCGCCTTGTAGCAAAATCTCTCAAAAGAGAAAAAGAATATATATTTTTTGATGGGGATTATCCTCTCTGGGTTATGGAGACAATGATCATTGACTGCTGTGTGTAAGTGTGCTCTCTAGGTTATGGAGAGATCACTGACTGTCAAGCATTACTACTACTTTTGGGGAGCTATAATCCAGGATGAAAGAAATTAAGAAAGTCAGGAAATATCTAGTTACTGCTTTCTGTATGTTGTAATTTCAAATTGTTTTTAGTTTACAATTCAAAGCTAGAGTTACTTCAAGTGAAGGAATAGAAAGGTAAAGTTGAGTCTCAGAGAACTTTTATAAATACTGATTTGATTCATTTGTTTCTTGAGTGAGCTTGCCATCTTAGCCTTTGAGTAGTTGCCCAGTAACACAATTGCAGTATAACATAGCAACCATGGAAAACAATAGCACTGGACTACAGGGATTTTCCTGATGAAGTTGCAGTGCTTGTCTCTAGTGTTCACATTCAGTTTTTCTCAACTGAATTGATTTTGTTTTAAGGCAGAGCTTTCAAATATTGTCAAAGGGCATACAGTATATGCTCTTAAGTGTTCTTTTGGAGTGATAACACATTTTAACTTCCTGCACATTGTATTTCACATAGAGATGCATGATAAATATATATTATAATGTGTATGAAGGACATGTGAAAACACTGGCTTAATGAAAGATTAGCCTATTCTGGGCAGAAAAATGATGAAGTATTAACATCACAATTGTATGCAATAGATATAGTCAGAGCTGGGGTGGATGAAGTTGAAATGCTTGTTGATAACATTTTTGTGTCGCTTCTGGAGCTCTGCGGAAAGCTTAGGTCAGTAAGTACAGTTCTATAAGCATCGTGATTTTGTGGGAAAAGAATCGTGATTTGAAGACCAAGGCTTGACTAGGTGAGTCTCTTTAGCTTTTTTGGCCTATCTGCTCATTCAGAAAAGTGAAGAT